CATGTATATATATATATGTATATATATATATATATATATATATATATTTACTCATCTGCATACATGTTGATTCCCCCTACTAAGATGTAAGCTCCTTGAGGGCAGGTACTAGTTTATATATTTTTTTCTATCCCAAGCACCTACCATAGTGACTGGCATAGAAGGCAAAGGCATTTAATAAATTCATGTTGATTTGAATTGAATGAAGAAAGTAAGAGCTTCCTTTAGAAGAGCAACATATTTGTAGCACAAAGAAAAGCTGAAATTTGGCACTTACATAGTACCTCTGATCTTTGTAGATAATCAAATAGGAACATTCAGACTTCTGTGACTGGACTAGACTAGAAAAGACTTCCTAATCTGGTTGGCTACATGGATTAAATGAACTAAATAGTTCAAAAATTTCCTTTATACCACATAGACATAGCCTTGACCTTTCACTAAAATTAAAAAAAAAAATTTTTTTGAAAAGGCATTCTCTTATTTGAAGTCAAGAGAATATGGCTATGCTCAGTAAAAGCAGTCTTGGGAACTCAAGAGTAATAATGAAAATGCTGACAATTTGAGAGTGCTTTAAAATTTCGAAAGCACATACATATGTGTTCATATGTAGCCTCATCTGAGCCTAATGGCCCTCTGAACACAAGTATACATATCTTCATTTTGCGGATGAGGAAATTGAGATTCAGAAAGGTCCAGTCACTTATCCCATGATCACTTAGTCAGAAGAAGCAGAATTTGAAGCCAACTGTTTTGATCTCTCTAACACTCAAATCAACAAAGAATTTGAGAATTTGAAGGTACATCATTGGTCAGTCAAACCCATACACAAAAGGAATCTTCCCCATGACATAACCTACACATGGTTGTCCAGACTCTGTTTGAAGACCACCTAGGAGAGGGAACTTGTCAGTCTTCTTGATATCCCACCCTATCCATTAAGCTGTGTTGTAACTTCTAAGCAAATACCTTGAGGAAAAAACTTGGAATCTAGAGAATGGCTTCCAAGGTCAGTCTAAAAGATTATGTCCATTATTCTATATCTCATCTACCCTCCCTGCTTAAGAATAGCCAAGAAGCCAGTAGAGAAGTAAGGTGGTTTGGGAAAGAAAATACTGAATTTGGAGTCAGAGGACATGGCTTTAAATTCCTGCTCTAACACTTACTAGATGTGTGGCCTTGGGTAAGTCATAGTTTCCTAGTGTTATAGAACCTTAGAGATTACCTAGTCCAACACCCTCATTTTTCAGATGAGAAAACTGAGGCCCAAAGGGGTTAGGAGACTTTCCATGGTCAGCATAGGTAGTAAAGAGCAAAGCCGTGTGATCTCAACCAAGGTCTTCTGACTCCAAATTCAATGGGCCTCTGGATCTCAACTTCCCCACCTGCAAAATGGAGATAACAACACCTTCAATACGTACTGCACAAAGCTGTTGTGAGACCCCAGTGAGACAAGAGATGTAAAATACCTGTAGAAGAACATAAAGGGCCATATGAACATTAGGTATTAATATTGATGTGGGAGCCCTTCAACTGAAGAAAAAGATAATGATTCCTCTGGAAAAGGGTCTCCTTTGGTCCGTCATCCACTCAGTCCCTGTCATCACACCCACTATTATCACTGAAAAGATAGTTGCTGTTGCTTCTTTTCTTTCCCACCAACCCACCCAGCACCTACTCACCTCAGACTCCAATAATTCAAGCTTGAGAAACCTATACCTCTCCCCTTTCCCCGAAGCTACCAAAAAGGAAGAAGAAACCTCCATCAGGGGAGCCCTACTGAAAGAGGGAGGGAAAAGGGGGCAATTGTTCATGGCATCATGTGGGGAAGTTGTCTCTGCAGTAGCAAAATGCATTCTCTTTTTCTCCTTCTCCTTCCTTCCCAGGGAGTATTCCAGCCCAATAATTAGTACATGGGAGATAAGTGGAAAATAAGACGGCTGGTGAGGGTGGTTCAGGCCTCCCCGTGACATTGATAATGTGCAGATGCCGAGATCACTGCCAGGGCAGAGTGCCATCCCAGGCCTGTGCCTCCCCATCGCCTCATCAATCTATCATCCTCTTAGCAGCTGACACCTTTGGCAGCTCCTCTCCACCAGCTCCAACATTAGAATTGCAAGGAGCCTCAGCTGCACTGGGGAATACAGATTCAAGAATCTCGGATTCAAATTTGTTTAAGTATTGTGAACAATGATTCCCTCGCAAGGCATCTTTATTGCCCTTTTGCCAAAGGGGAATGGCTAGGTCTTTGTTAGAAGTACAAATTGCTTCTTAATGCAAGGGATAAAGCCAAGCCTGGGCACCTCTTTAGAAATTCCTCCCCGCTCCGGGAACACCGCTGCATGTCAATTTTAATTTTTGAAATTTAAACCGAGGGCTTTGTGTCTAAGCTCCATCTCATCGGAGGAAGGGGAGGAATAAGTCAAAAAGGATTAGGAACCCAGTGGGAATTGTAGATCCATGGCAATTAGACTTCATTTGGGTCTCAGACATTTGGTTTTAATCTCATTTCTGAATGATACAATCGACAAAGCATCGGAGATTGATAAGTGTATAACACATGTACTTGTTTATGGACTCCCCTCCCTGCACCCATCCCCACTTCCCTCTCACAACCTCATTAGCAGGCTGGGCTGAGTTCGAGGGTTTGGCTTGGGTGGTTCTTCTTTTTGTTTCCTTTTCTTTAGCTTTCAGTGAGGTTTCCAGCTCAGGACTCAAAAAGGATGCAATCATCACTCATATTCAAGTGAGTGACAATAAAAACATTATTGAAATAAACCAGGAGCATAAAAAGGAATGTCAACAGGAAACTAGGCAGGGGGCATAATTGTCTTTTAAATGGGAATAACAGCTTTTAGCATCCTCCTGGAATTAATATATGCCAAAATAGAGACATCAGGCATAGAAGCTGCCATGAAAATATATGTGTGCATCTGTGTGCATGTATGTATATAGACAAGGTTGTGACCATAATGAAAGATTTCCCTAAGGCACTCAAGAAAATCAATTCCACAGCTTTAGAGTTGCTCCATATATGCATACATTTAGTGTGCATTCTTGTCTACCTACAGACCATAAACACTTTTGCATTTTCTGCACCAGGACCACAAATATTCTGGGGTATCTGCAGATGCTGCCCTAAGAAACTCTGGTTCCTTCCTCTCTTTTCCCCACCCCCCACCTCCAGCCCTCTTATACATTCAAGTGACATAGAACTATTTCTGGGAATTGGTACAAAATGCCTACACCAAACCTCTAATCTGTACACATTTTTTGTAAATTGAGAATTCAATCAAACTGATTGTTTTGAAAACAACTGAATGAATTCAGTTAAGCAAGTATGGACAAGTTACAAAAAGGTTATTTTTCAAATAACATGGTGCTTGACTGAACTCAACCATTACAAGAAAAAATAATAATAAAACTCTTCGAATTGGAAGGGGGAGTTTGCCCTCAAATGCCTTTGTGTCAACATAACCCTAACAGGTTAATGATTTCTGAGCTTACTCCTACCTTTTACACAGTCTGAAACAGATACTATGTCAGAGTATGGACTTGTGTCCACAAAACTCCTTATAAAAAGCGAAGTGGAGGATGAAAGCAATTATCTTGAATAGTAAGGCAAGAAAAATGTCTAATTTCCTTAATAGGGATCTTTGAGGTAAAATATTTTGGGAGATCTTACCTTGGCTAACATGTTTAGACAAAACTTATATGAGTGAGTGTGGGCTCTGTGTGTGTGTGTGTGTGTGTGTGTGTGTGTGTGTGTGTGTGTAGTTTTAGGTATGTGATAGACTTTCCTTTTCTACCCAAACAGTTAGAAAAACAAACAAATGCTCTACCAACAAGTACTCTAGTTTTGCCGAGTTTTGAAGAGGGAAAATTGTTTTCCTTATTCCCTTCCTGATCATCAATTACAAGCCATCGACCTTTCCCCTTTACTCTCTTTCACTCTCTTCCACAGAATAAGAAGGTAATCCCAGGCAAGATGACAAAGGCAGGGCCAAGATGGCAAAGGCAGATGGGGAGGCAGCCGGCAGGACTGGAAACAATGAAGGTTGGCTACTCTTCCCTGGACTCAGGCCGATTATCTCGGAGTCTATCATGCACACCCAGCAGGCCTCAGGAGTTTAATAGAATAGTTTGTGGCGTAAAAATTCCTACTACATTTCATAGGATCACAGATTTAAATTTGAAAAGGACCCCAGAAGCCATGTCGTCCCACTCCCTCCTAAGATGGGTTTCAAATAGTCACCTGTTCGGAGAAATCTCTTAAAAACAGGTGCTGAGGTAAACATCCAAGAGATCCAGGAAGGTAGAGCGAAACCCATCCAGTCCAGTAGTCTACGACTTGCCTCTATCCCTGTCTTTTTTCCCTTCCTCTCCTCTGTAGCTCATACCACCTCCCCTCAAAAGAGAGGAGAAACACTTGTGGGGTGGGGTGAGGTGGGCAAGATAGGGGCTGTTCTGGAGCCATGGCCACCGTCCATGGATGAAAAATGGAGCTCTGAGAGTGAGGAGGGAAGGGGGCTAGCCAAGTAATTTTGACAGAGACACAAAGGAGGCTGTTGTCTAAAAACACAATTTAATGTTTCACAGTTTGAGTGAGGCGGTTTGTTTGTTGGCTGAGTTTCTGTTGGTGTTTGTTTGGTTTGGTTTTGCGGACAAACACGGACATTCGCACAAGTATTTCATTTCACAAAGAATGACGCCTTGTAGAGCTCCTTACAAATAACTGTCGATTTAGGCCCATATCCCAGGAAAGGGTCCCAGGAGATTCCATTTCAGAAGGATTTCAGAACCGAGTAAAGAAGGGGGAAAGAAGTTCCCTTTGCCCGGACTTGTCCAGTCTCATCCGTTTCTTTCACGGTTGCTGTAAGGACGTAGGTAGGTACCTTTGGATCCTACACCCCATCCCAGTTCCCTTTCTCTCCCTCTCCTTCTCCCTCTCCCTCTCCCTCTCCCTCTCCCTCCCCCTCTCCCTCCCCTTCCCCCAGAGACGAAGAGCGAATCCTGAGCCAGAACTCTGTCTGGGGCCCCAGCGGAGCGAGCGAGTGAGATTACAGATACACTAATGGTAGGTTAGGGGAGTGGGGACTGACTAGGTGGAGGAGGAATGTGGTTTGGTTTCTGTCCCAACCGAAAAGTGACGAGTTGCAGTGAAGGGTCCTTCAGAAAAGAGTTGCACCCCGAGCTCCGGTCGAAGAGGGAGAAGGGGGTGGAATGCGCCGGTCCCCTCTCCCACTCCCTAATCGGGGTATAAAAGAAAGCCAGAGAAAGTGCTGTACTTATTGTTGTTACCGCCGTGTGCTTTTCCCCCGTCCAGCTTCACGTAGACCTCGTCCCCGGAGTCCAGGTGCAGCACCACGCTGTTGCTAGCGTAGTCGTAGTTCTGGTCCGCGTCTTGGGCGATGGCGCTGGCACGGACCTGGGGAGACGGAGCCGGTGGGGGCTGCTTGGAGTGAGGCGCCCCTTTGCCCCTCCCTCCGCCTCTGTGGCCCTCTCCCGTTGCCCATCTCCCTTACCCCTTGGCGCCCGCGGCTCCCTCTCCTGCAAAGGACCTTCCCGTACCCCAGTCCTTAGAGGATTTCCCCAAAAACTTTAGCAACTCTTCCTAGGTCTCCACCTCTTTTCTGCTTCTGCTTAGTCGGGCGTTTCGAGAATGGGGGTTGGAGGAGGAAAGGTAAGACAAGCTCTGGGGTTCGAGGGAACAGAGTAAAGCGCCCCGGACTAGAGGAAAAAGGAACCTTGCAGAGAAGGACCTCGGGACAAGAGGACTAGTTGACCATTTAGCCAAATCTGGTGACCTCAAGTCGAAAGGGTTTCCCGACCACAGGGTATGGAGCTGGGGTAGAAGGGTAGGAGGCACCCAGCCCGCAAAGTCGTTTCATATAGAGGGATCATGGGTATGCAGAGGCTCCAGACACTCGCAAATCTTACACTTACTGGAGACGCAAGCCAAAACGCTCTGGCAAAATAGGTTTCCCAAAGAAGCGTCCCCTGACTGGCCAAGGGCCTGAGCAGAGACGCGTTCTGAACGCACCGCTGCCCTGGGAGGAGGCGGGCTTCGCAATCTGAGGAACATGGGAAGATAGGGGCACTCGGGAAGGGAGAAGAGGGAAGGGAGAAGAAAGTGGGTGGCAAGGGAAGGAGACTGACCTGCCCGTTCTTGCAGAGGTCTGCCCACATGCTGGTACCATCCCCGCCTCTCATGAGGATGTGGTAGGTGAAGAAGTAGATCCCTCGCACTTGGCAGCTGAACTTGCCCGTAGTTGGGTCGTAATGGTTGCCCAGGTTGGTGACCACGTCGTCGAACTTGAGTACTTCATAACCCTCGTGGGGGCTCTTCAAGCCCACGTAGAAAGCTATCTTGGGGCCACTAAACGCTGCACTCAGTGCCCCGGTCACCTCGCCGACGTCCCCGCCGCCTCCTACTCCTCCACTACCAATGGCCCCGACGCTGCCCCCGCCTGCCCCGCCCGCCGCCAGCTGCAACCCGGGCATCCCGGGTTTTCCTGAGTCTCCTTTCTCTCCCGGGGGCCCTCTCGGTCCAGGGGGTCCTGGCTCTCCCTGGGGACCTCTGGGGCCCGGTTTCCCCGGCCGGCCAGGCTCTCCTTTGGGTCCCTGGATGAACGGGGGAGGAGGATTGGCGCTGAGGTCCTGCATGACTTCCAGGGCAGCTGTGCTGGGCCCGGGGGCCGATTTGCCGCCTGGACTCCCGGGCCCTCCCCCGGGTCCCCCGCTGTAGGGGTCACATATCATGCGGCAAGTTCCCATCATCTCGTAGTGCGCTGAACTTGGGGGTGCAGCCTGCAGTAGTAGAAGGGGCACAGCTATCAGCAGCACCAGGGCCATGGCCAGCAGTACGCCGACGGCGGCCAGGCAGGCGCGCCTCCGCCTCTGCCAAAGCCGGGAGGCGACAGCGACCAGGTCCTCTTTTCCGGGGGAAGTAATGGTGAAGCGGTGCTGGTCACCCAGCTCCCGGCAAAGAGGGGCCGGCTGAGCTGAGTCGGGGCCGCCTCCCCGACGTGCGGATTCCCACGCTCCCCCTCCAGCACCGAGCCGCCCCGCTGAACTTCAGCAGGCGCGCTCCGGACCCGAGCAGCCTGACCGGCCGCACTGGGGCTGCTTCAGAGAGCCTCGGAACCCTGCGGGCATGATGAGGGCATCGTGATAGGTGGCTGCAAGCTGGAGACGCACCCCTAACACACCGTGATCGCGGTTCGGGCTTCAAGTGCTTGCCCTGGCGTCTGCCTGGGGCTCTGGGGCTCTGCTTCAGCCTCTCTGACTCTGCCTCTGTCCCTGGCTCCAGCTCCTGGTGTGTGAGTGTGCGTCTCTTCCCGTTACACTCTCTCCGTTACTCTCTTTCTGCATGTGTTTGTCTTCTCTCTCCTCCTCCTCCTCTATTTCTTCTTCTTCTTCTTCTTTTCTCTCTCTCTCTCTCTCTCTCTCTCTCTCTCTCTCTCTCTCTCTCTCTCTCTCTCTCTCTCTCTCTCTCTCTCTCTCTCTCTCTCTCTCTCTCTCTCTCTCTCTCTCTCCCTCTCTCTCGGAACGACCCAGCCAGCCTGACGTAAGGAATCTGGAGGTAGGCTACAGGAGCTCCAAGGCGGCAGCAGCAGCAACAGCAGCAGCAGCAGCAACAGCATCACAAGGGAAATGGGTGTCTCATCATCACCACCACCATCATCAAGAACAGCATCATCCATCCTATTCATAGGAAAAGGAGCTCTGTCTCTGACTCGGGAAACTTTGCCCAGCAGTGTGGAGATGCCACAAGTGAGTGTTCTCTGCCAATGCATACACATAACAAATAATGCACACAGAACAATAATACTTACTCATGCTCATCCATGCACGTACACATACATCCATAGATAAATAGATCTTAAAGTGAGGGTAGTCATCAGACCTGGGTTCAAATTTTGACTCAGTTAATAACCAGGTTGTGACCCTGAGCAAGTCACTTTACTTGGAGGTTCGAAACTCAGTTTCTCCACCTGTAAATTAGGGATAATAGTACTTGCACTGCCGCTAATAGAGAAAACCTCTATTATTGTTAAGTCAATACAGCTAGGTGGCAAAGTGGATAGAGTGCTGGGCCTGAAGTCAGGAAGACTCATCTTATTGAGTTCAAGTCTGGTCTCAGACATTTACTAGCTGTGTAACCCTGGGCAAGTCACTTAACCCCCATTTGCCTCAATTTCTTTATCTGTAAAATGAGCTGGAGAATGAAACGGCAAACCATTCCAGGATCTTTGCCAAGAAAATCCCAAATGGAATCATAAAGAGTCAAGCATCACTGAATAATTGTTATGTCAAATGAGTTGTCAGTACTGGTAGTGCCAACAACTATCTGGACCCTAATTCACTGTGCTTACACCACACTCCAGTAACTCCCATATGCACAGGGTTATGTCTATAACTCAGGGAGGATGAAAGTGGTCTCCTGGCTCCACCAGCTGGTCCAAAAAAAAAAAAACTTAAGGCTCATACATAAAATCAGATTATAAACCTTTGTCTGTGTCTCCCCTGCCATCTCCCTCCATAACATAAATACATTACTAAAGCTAAGAAATTGACATTTTTTCTCTTTAAGACTGTCCTTGGTATTCATTTTAAACTAGGATCTATAGTTGGAAAAGTCCTCACAGGTCATCAAATCCAACTCCCTCATTTGGAAGAGGAGGAAGGCCTAGAAAGGAGTGACTTACTGGAGGTCACACAGTCAACAGACCCAAGCTGGGATTTGAACTTGAGCCTGCTCACTCCCATCTCAGAATGCTCCAGGCAAAAGCATACACAGTGTACCCTTTGCCAAGGTCCACACCTCTCTCCTCTCAAGGATGAATCTCCCTTTTCTACCTCCAAAGTCAAGAGTCATTTATTCCCAGGAAAACATGGGAAGGAGAGAATAAGGTGAAGAAGGTTGAATTAAAAAGTACTGCCCTTTCACAACAGAGCCCCTTTCCTCAGGTGCAATAGAATACTCAACAGATTTGGAGACAGAAGATCTGGATTCAGATCTTGGCTCCGCCATTTACTACCTGTGTGACTTTGGGCAAATCACTTGAACTCTCTGAGCCTCAGTTTCATCAGCTGTAAAAATGAAGTCATTGGACTAGACTTTGAAAATCTCTCCCAATGCTAATTCTGTGATCCTATGTGAACACTGTAGTTTTGGTTTCAATTTGAGAATTAACTTTTCCAAAATAGGTTCATGATGATTTTCTTTCTACTCCAGCTCTAAGAGAGAAAAATTGGTGGTGTCTCTGAATGAGAGAGCTTCTGAAGTACTTCCTGGGAAGCTCTTCCATCTGACAAACAAATGAGCAGCCACCTCTGCCGACACAGGCCACTCATCTCGAAGTTAAGTCAAAGAGGAGAGTGACACATTCCCTGAGTCATAATGTTTGTTCCCCCTGCCTCCTCCACCCTGTTCGGCCAGCATGGAATACTAGACATGCTCATCACCAGTGCAACCTTCACTTTCTGCTAAGTAATCCACCATGAAAATCCCCTTCCCCTCAAAGCCTAGTATATTAGGATATTGTTTCTCATCAATAGAAATAACAATAATTATACCACCCCATGTGGTTATGTATATATATATATATACACACATATATACATATATAAATTATTATATATTGTGTATGTGTGTATAGGTAGATATATAGATACAGATATCTGGCCTCAGACACTTACTAGCTGTGTGACTTTGGGCAATTCACTTAATAGCACCCCATAACTGTGAGACTAAATTTGAACTCAGGTCCTCCTGACTCCAGGGCCAGTGCTCTATCCACTGGCCCACCAAGTTGCCCCTGTGCTGTACATTTTTTTCAATAATCAGTTCAACGTGTCTAAAATTGAGCTCACTCTCCACATCCAATCAGTTGTGAAGCCCTAGTTATTTCTAGTGTCACTGCATCTTTCCCCATGTTTTCTGACCTATCCATTCATAGGGCCACCATCCTAGTTCAGACTTCCATCATGGTAATAGCCTTCCACCTAGCCTCCTGCCTCCACATTCTCCCCACCCCCAACCCCCTTTCCTTCCCCTCTAATAGGTGTAGTGAAATGAGATAGCATGACAGATTGAATCAGAGGTCTGGATTCAGAGATAGAATTGGATAAAAGAGTGAATATGGAATTGGGAGACCTGAGACCAAGTCCCCAGCTCTGCCACTTACTAACCTTATGACCTTCACTCTCTTGCCCTTACTTTCTTCAAGATCCTCAGTTTCTCCATATCAGTAAAAGAGGAATAAAAGCAGTCATATGCCTACCTCAAAAGACTGTGAGGATAGTACAGAACAAATGAGATAACATAGATAAAACACTAAACAACTGTAAGATATTCATATTATTATCTATCTTCTATATCACAGCCAAATTAATATTTCTAATGCATAGTTTTGATCAAATAGTTCTAAGGCTCAAAAGCCTCCTATAGTTCCCCATTGCCTCCTGAATAAAGTCCAGACTCTAGCCTAACATTCAACGCCTTTTGAAATTTTCCTCCTATCTCCCTCTCCAGACTTAACTGCTCATTTATGTACTCTATGCACCAGCCAAACTAGATTACTACTCATAACCCCAAAAATAAAATACTATAACTCTATGAGCCCCAATTTGTCCCACTGTCTTTCATCAGTGTTCCTTAGAGCCCCTTTCTTCCTCTTCTGATTCCTTTCCCACCCCCATCCCCACCCTCTTCCAACTCTTTCCCACTGTAACTGAAGGAGAAGACCGATGCCCAAGTAATTAAAATGCAAGCCAGAATATCATGATGGCATAGAAAAGGTACAAGCAAAGTGATATGAGAGATTTATCCAGTTAAAAAAGTCATTTATAGTTGGGGTGATCAGGGAAGACTTCATAGAGGAAATTATGCCTGACTTGGCCCAAAGGAAAAATGGAAGGAAAATAATTTAGCAATATATGGAGTGTAGGGGGTGCTCAGAGAGGACTAGCTCTTCTGGTGTGAGAACCTGTAGAGCCCTTTCCAGGGCTTCTCATCTTCCTTTGGAGTCTACCTGCTACTCAGCTCTTCACCTGTGGCTCCAAGAAACCATAGCATGCGCAGTGACTATACCCTGGTAAAACCTTCTTGGCAGCCAGTCTAAACCAGGTGGAGAGTAACCTTAAACCTGTTGGTGATTTAGAGGTATGTCTACCCTGAGCATGTAAAGACTTCCCCCAGCAGAATGGGGAATGAGTGGATGAGAACAGTTTGTTCTGATGGCCAAGAAGACAGCTGAAACAGATTCTGTGGAGCACTTAGAGCTTGGTCAGGCATCAAAGACACCAAAGTCATCCACTGCATCCCTGGCTATCGACAGTTGTCTTAACTTTTGTCTTCCCACTGGACTTTGATGACTCTAGAAGAGAGAGTGAGACTGATGACTTTGTGCAAATCTATCTCACTTAAATCCAATTCACTCACAAGTTAAGATATCACCCATAATGTCCTTGGTTCTCTTCAAAGGATCAACAACAACAACATCTCCACAGTAGAGTATAAGTTCCAGGAGGACAAGGTTTTTTGGTTTTGTTTTGTTTTTTTGGGGGGGGGGGTTGGTTTTGTTTTGTTTTTGTATTCACAGTGACTTGCATATAGTAAGTGCTTAATAAATGTTTATTGAATTGTATTAGACTGGTTGTGTGGGTGGGTAGTCGGCCCTTAATAAAATTTGAATGAGGGGCAGCTAGGTGGCATAGTGGATTAGAGCACCTGCCCTGAAGTCAGAAAAACCTGAGTTCAAATCCAGCCTCAGACCAAATACTTGACACTTAACTAGCAGTGTGATCCTAGCCAAGTCACTTAACCCCAATTGCCAAAAAATTAAATAA